CACAGAAGTTACTGTTTTAAACACGAGTTAAAATGAACGGAAGTACACAGACTGAGAATATCTTGGATTTAATGGTGGAAACGCTTCGTCCAGTGACCCAGTCCATTGTCCAAACCGTGGCTGTGGAAAGGGACTTGGACGAGGACACACAAACACTGGTGACAGACACGACTCTGCAGGTTATCCGATACCTGGGTAAACGCTTCAATGTGGCCCTTCAGAGCATAACCGAACACAGCTCTAAAGAGGACGTGCTGTCCAGTCTGGGCTGTGTACTCCCTCCGATTATTGATAAGGGTCTTAACATCATCAGAACAGAGGCATTCAGTGCCGCATCAGACCCGCTGGCGACCCTGACCACACATGAGGTTACAGAAGTTGTAACCGGAGCCCTGTCTGGCAAAGACACGGCGGAGCCCGTCAAAGAACCGCATGTCAGTCTGCCGGGGAAAATTTGTGCCACGATTCGTTATGTCTTACAAATGTTAAAGGTGAAACTACAGTCTCTGTGTAGATGCTGTCCACCTACCGCTAAGATCGGAACACCGCAGACCCCTCTAAAGGTCGTCAGCGTGAATTCAGATTCGGAGGAGGATGAGACACAGACCTCAGCTTCCGGGGTCACATCATCATCCAGCTCCTCTGGAGGCCAGGAAACGTCAGAGGAGAGCACGTCTGGGGGAGACGAAGCCCGGGAAATCGAGGCACAACGTCTGGTGCCGCTAGTGAGGAGCCACATAGATGAAGCAGCTCAGGCGGTGGAGGCATCAGGCAAGTCATTCTCTTATGGGAGCTGTGTAATAGAGGTGTTCAAGAGCATTGCACTTATGATAGTCATTAGCAAACTGCTGGTAAGGCTTGCTAACAAAGTAGGTTTCGCAATGACTGCAGATCAAATAGAGATACGCGGTGGGCTACTGTTCGACAAAATAGAGGCTCTCATGGAGGCCGAACATGTTGACTTTAATGATGAAGCACTCCAACACCTGGACAAACGTGTGTACAAGGACCTCTGCAAAAAAAGGAACAAAAACACGGTGTTTGAGTTGTTAGTGAGTGGCACATCAGTTGAAGATTACATCGCCCACACTTTCATAAAGCACATGACTAAGCCACCAAAGAAAGGCAGTAAGATCTGCAGGTGCTTGTCCATCTGCAAGCACTTCCGGAAGTAGCTTGTCTTAGGACAAAGCATTTCCTGGTGTTACGGGTTTACTCCGGGTACTCCGGTTTCTTCCCATTTAAAAACATTTAAATCATCACCCTAAATTAACTGATCGATCTGATTGATTAATAGCCCAGTAGATTTTGGGAGGGGGGGATCTATTCTCCTCCTGTGGTGTTACAGGTTTACTCCGGGTACTCCGGTTTCTTCCCATTTAAAAACATTTAAATCATCACCCTAAATTAACTGATCGATCTGATTGATTAATAGCCCAGGAATGACCTGCAGAGAGCTGGGACCAAAGTAACAAAGGCTACCATCAGTAACACACTACGCCGCCAGGGACTCAAATCCTGCAGTGCCAGACGTGTCCCCCTGCTTAAGCCAGTACATGTCCGGGCCCGTCTGAAGTTTGCTAGAGAGCATTTGGATGATCCAGAAGAGGATTGGGAGAATGTCATATGGTCAGATGAAACCAAAGTAGAGCTTTTTGGTAAAAACTCAACTCGTCGTGTTTGGAGGACAAAGAATGCTGAGTTGCATCCAAAGAACACCATACCTACTGTGAAGCATGGGGGTGGAAACATCATGCTTTGGGGCTGTTTTTCTGCAAAGGGACCAGGACAACTGATCCGTGTAAAGGAAAGAATGAATGGGGCCATGTATCGTGTATAGAAAACCTTTGGAGGGAGTTGAAAGTCCGTGTTGCCCAGCGACAGGCCCAAAACATCACTGCTCTAGAGGAGATCTGCATGGAGGAATGGGCCAAAATACCAGCAACAGTGTGTGAAAACCTTGTGAAGACTTACAGAAAACGTTTGACCTCTGTCATTTCCAACAAAGGGTATACAACACAGTATTGAGATGAACTTGTGGTATTGACCAAATACTTATTTTCCACCATAATTTGCAAATAAATTCTTTAAAAATCAGACAATGTGATTTTCTGGATTTGTTTTTCTCATTCTGTCTCTCATAGTTGAAGTATACCTATGATGTAAATTACAGGCCTCTACACTTCTGCTAATAGCACCTTCACACAAATGGCATATTAATGTCACCACACACATTTCTAAACACTTTCATGCACACAATATACAACAGGTTGCTAAAGTCCTTTAGTCTGACAGAGCCCAGTTATTCCATTGGTCAGAAACTAACTGTGGAATTTGATTTTGTTTACCTGTTTTTTATTTTTATTTTTTTACCATAAGCATTGAAGTCCTGCAACTTAAATAATGTTCTAATAACTATCATACTGTACTACCCTCTGTTACTCTGAATTAGTCAGATGCTTTCTCACTTCACTAACCTTGTTGTGCAGCTGGCGTCGCTCCTCCGTTCTGGGCTGTAGAGCTCAAACCGAGTCGGTCATTTTCATCTACGCCTCCCACGGCATAGATGGACCCATTCAGCACTGTTGCGCTCACATGGCAGGACATGGCTGCTAACTCACACCAGGTGCGTGTGATCACGTCAAATCTGTGCCAGCTGTTGTGATGCACCACTCCGTCATCGCCACCGACACAGTAAACAATGTTGCCAACTTCACGACTTTCTCGCTAAATCTGGCGACTTTCCTTATTTTTTTTATTCAAAAGCGACTAGCGACTTTTTCTGGTGTTATTTAAGACTTTTTTGGTGTTTTGGAGACTGACGTGAAAGTATGGAAGCAAAACGGCCTCATAAAGATTTGAATCTATATCAGCATCTGAATAATAGGTTTTGAAATATTAAACTTTGAATTCTATATTCTGAATGAATGCACTCTGAATTTTACGCAGTGAAATTGCAAGTAGAGATTTTCAAGTTAGAAAAATACATCATTTTGATTTCAAACCACACCAATATTATTTAAATAATTCAAATATAAAAATGTACATGTCTAATTTTCAAAAAATATATTCAAGGCGTTTATTTCAAGAAGCACTATTCAGAACCAGAAAGTTCAATCAACTCACAATTCAGACTGTGACATTCAGGTGCTGAAATTCAAGTGCA